AAGGGGGGGGGGGGGGGGATATATCAAATAATTGTGTTCTATAGGGATCCCCCAAGTGCCATGTAAAAGAAGTTTTTTTGTAATAATATTTAATTTTTCATTAAAAACATTTTGTTTAAAGAAATTGTTCGATTTATCCGAATTTTGATGACGCACCCTGTATGTCAAAATGTAAATTAATTTCAAAGTAAACATCGTTTATTTAATGTATGCACTTAGTAAATGCATTTAAACTAAATTTGAGTAAAATTTAATACATTTTCTTAAATTAAATTGTTTAACTTCATTATTTTAGTCAAATAACGACATATCAGGAAATAGGAATAGTGGCGATCTATAGAAATAATTAAAAATAACTCTAATTGGATAAAATTTGACATTATAAATTTAGCAGTGTACTTGCTAATGTTGGCATACATATGGCCATGTCGTCTGGAGCCGCTTTTATATCTATTTCGTTTATCATAGGGACGAAGACAAGTTTTCATGCCAAGTCGAAGAAATAGACGAAGATAAATCAATTGGCACGAAGATCGGGATGGAGGGTATATCAAAAAACAAGGCTGCCACGGCGCGACGGAATACTTCGTCATGAGTCGGGGAAGACTTTTAACTTAATAAAACCACGAAAGTGCCAGGGGGATAACACGATAGATACACGGCTCTGCGCGTGGTGCGTGCCAGAAGAAATGATATCGTATCCATAATTTTATTCTGGAATATCTTTAAGCTCGGGCCACAATTCATATATCAGAATCGCCCGGAGAGACATATTCGCGAAAGGAAAAGAGACTGAGGTGGGAGAAAGAGAATGTGATGCAGAAAGAGAAGAAGGAGGGATGCTGGGATGCGGAGGAAGATAGGGAGAAATAAAGGGCAGCAGCCAATTCGCTATATGGACCACCCTAGGGAGAACATTCGGGGTGCGGGGATAGACATATACTAATGTAAGTGTGTCACGGGGTTGGGTTGCGATCCTCCATGCGAGGAAAATATGAGATCCTGGCTTCGCCTCGTTTCTATGCATAAACTGCGATATCAACTTGCGGTATAAAAGAATGCGTGCCTCAATCCGAAGTTTTCTCTGTGATCGAGAAACCGCCTCGATTTGAATGAGATTAACTCTTTTCATGTTCTTTCTCTCTTTTTCAATTCCAACCAGAGTACACATTAAATTGTAGCTTAAACAACTTGATACGCTTATAGTGTTAATATTAATAACATGAACTTCAAACCCCTGATGTTTATATCAGTATCGCATGATGTTAAATTCACATTGGTATTTTTTAGACCATAAGCGTATCAAGTTATTTGATTTGAACTATAATTTAATGCATATGATTAATATTAGCACCAATACAGTGAGAATTATATACACCACATGGATGTTAGATCCACACCAGGGATGTTAAATCCAATTGATTTTATTGATTAACATCAATATTTTTTAGAGTGTAGACTTAAATTCATTTATTTATTACACCGTTTGACCCTCTCGGATTTATTATCTTACACAAGCAAACGCAGCGGTTTAACCAAATTACGTAATAATCGCAATCCCTTCTTCGCCGCGTATTAATTCTCATGCGTGATTTTGTGCAGACGCATCGATTGTGCGCATCGGTTGCCAAGCAACGAATACATTATCAAGATCGAACGTTGTATGCGTGCTGTAACGGGATAATTTTGGCTATCTAGCATGCTTAATGCATTACTCTGCCATTTAGTTAATAACTGAACTAAAGCAACGAAACGGGGCAAACGAGCCATGCGCAATTTTCCTCCGAAAACGCGAGCACATCCGGTTCGCAAACTTCAAACGCGATGCGTAAATCCACCGGTAAATATAATAAGCCGACAATTCGCCAGCGAAGTTAGCAGTACCGGTTGATTACGTTCCGGACCGTGTAATTTACAAATTAATTGTGTCAGTCATAGCAAAACACGCATGCGTCAAGCAATGCCCCGTCTGTGCTCGCGAGAAGAGTATATTGCACGTGTATGTTATGCTTGCTCTTTTTCACTCTCTTTCTCTCTCTCTCTCTCTCTCTCTCTCTCTCTCTCTCTTTCTTCCTAATCGCAATGCATGCATTCATCGAGTGAATTTTTGCGTAAATTAATCGCGCGGTTAAGCCGGCTCGAAAAATTCAGACACGAGGATTTACAGTCATCGTATTTCCTACGGCAATTGCGCTTCGTTACGAGATATATACGCGGTAACACTAAAATCCCCCAATAGCGGAATCGCAGTCGAAATTGCAACTGTGATGGCGTCGCGGATTAATTAATCCCTCGAGTACAATTGGCATACGTTAATTTTTCCTTTGAACGTGTCTCAGCAAACTAATATCGAGCTGTCGAGAGAGAACTCTTCAACGAATTACAGACGTAAGACGCTTAACAGGAAAGTTTTTTCATTTCAATGAAAACAATCTCCTGTAATGCGCCGGCAGTTCTCAGAAAAGAGGTTCAACACCATAGAAGTGGATTAAACGTCTATAGAATATCCATTTTCATCGCGTTATCATTATCATATTTTCACCAATTATTTTATCTATTTAACAAATTCATAATAAATTAATTTTATGTGTTTTTCAATAGTAATCTTATTTAAAAAAATCTATAGATAAATTTATAAAAATGTTAAAAAAAAACATTGGAAACATAAAAGAATAATGTACCATATAAATTTTAATTTAAATATTTTCATGAAATAGAGCTGTGTAAAAATGATAACATGCTTTTGTAATTAAAAGAATATCACAAAACGCATTTTAAAGAGAAAATTTTTGAGACTTTTTAAAAATTATACGGAATGTCAAAATTCATATAATAAATCGCTACGAAGAGTCGATATGCAAAATTTAATAAAAATATTGTACAGAAATATTTTTATACAAACATGAAAATAAATTTTGCATGCATATCGAATGATTTAAAATTATTAAATTACTGTAATCGGAAAGGCGTTATTTACATATGAAATAAATATAATAATAAATAGCAACAGTATAGTTGAAATCAAAGTTAAAAATTACATATAGAATTCATCTCACTAAACTGACTTAAAAGTATTTCTTTGCTTGAGATTCATGTACGATTCATGTATCATGTACAAGCAACTAAATCTAATTAGACTAACTGTAAATACAATTCGACAGCAGTACTATTAACAATAATTATATTGCCAGGATCATTTATGTCGTTCATTTGATCGACGACTACATTAATGGTCGGTCAATTAACATATCTCTCAGATGCAATTCACTTTGATTTAATGAACGTCGAAGGGTCCTAACTAGAACATCGAGCGATTTTCCTGCAGTCCTCTGATATGTCACTTTCGCGGCGCGGAATGTAAATTATGCCTGTCTTTCTGTTTGAGAGGCATTTCCATTTACGCGAATTAAGTCCAACGCGGAACAAACGGAAGAAGTTCGTTTTCTCAACTAACTCAAGTATATCCCGCGTATAATCAAAGCTCTGTCTCAAGAAATTGATAAATTTCATTTCAAAATAATTACTGTTGCAATTAACTTGCCAAAAATATTATTTATACCATTCTTCGGGTCTACCACACACTAACTTGTTTTATTATAAAATTATTTCGTATAACTTTATAGTTCAAATAATAAAGATCGTTTAAACATTTCATTAAACTATATTATTGGTTATATTATCCACATTATCAATGTATATTTACATAATATACGTATATTTACAAATTTAAGTATTCGTAATATAGCTAATTTCGTCAGAAGTTTCAAGAAGAATATTTATTATTTCCATTTTTAATTATATATTTGTTATACCAAAAGTGCAAATTTGCTCATGCTGTAAGAGAATAGCACTACGTGTATAAAATCATATACTAATTTATACGTATTACTTTTATATACTGATAAATGAAAAGGAATATAA